TCACTTACCTTAGGTCTTCAAGGCCCTCCATGACCAACGTGGGATAGCACGTCCTTCTTTCCTGAAGGCTGGAGAACATTCCACTGCACACGTAATGCATGTGCTTGGTCACCAGCGACCTTGCGTGACGTCTGGGTTGCACCTACCTCTGGGCTACCGGGAAGACCACTGCAGTGAGTCGGGTGTGCAAATACAGCTTCATCATCCTGCTTTTAGTTCTCCCGCACGTACCCTGAGAGGTGACATGCCGGATCCTATGGCAGATCGGTTTAGTTTGTTGAGGAATCTGGTATGGTGTCATTTTACTTTTCCAGTTTATGCGAAATAACAGAAACACAACACTAGTTCATTTGGGGTGTACAACCTAAAGGTTTGCTGTCTGCAAATGCTGGGGAGCAATCACCATAACAAGCTCAGGTCACATCCATAACCTCGTGTCGTTGCTAGCGTTTTCTTTAAGATCTGCTGTCTCGGGGCCTTTGAGACGTGGAGGACAGCATTGCTAACTAGTGTCCCTTTACCCTGCCTTGACACCGTACATTATGTCCCGGGACGGACTTCTCAATAGCAAGCAGTGGGTGCTTCTCACCACCTTCCATCCTCGCCCACCTCTCAGCTGAGGGCATCCGTGAATGTTTACTGGGCTTGGAGTGGGCCCTGGCTGACGCAGGTCCAGAAATAACCCTATGTTATTTACAGTCGACAAGCTCAGTAAAACTTCATTTTTCCATCATTCAGAGTATCTTGAGCAAACCCTATTTCTCATCTCAGTCAATGTGGCATCCTCCCTGTCCCTGACTCAAGAGGTCACCTTGATTCAAGGGGTCACCTTATCTACAGCCCTTTCCCTACCCCTGGCAGAGGCTGGAGGGTGGTCTTTCCCAGACACCCCGATATTCGAAGACCCAGATGCCTCTACACTCTTTCCTTTCAAACTTACTATTCTGCATCAGAATCGGGAGCCACCCCCTGTCCTATGTCAGTGCACTTTCCTGGGCCCTGGGAACATTCCACAAGTGTGTATTAAGGATTTAAAACTGTGTTTTGTGGCTATTTGGTACACAGAGGAACACATTCCAGGCTGGATTCATAGTCATTCTGTTCTTCTGATTCTAAAAATAATGAAAACAATTTGTGGCTCCCTAAAAATATGTGGGCAGAGACTCACTACTCATCTACCCACATGTGTCTGGGTGTTGGGAGGGGAGTTGGGGTGCTGGCGCTTCAAAGGGTCAGCCCACTGCCTCTCCAGCACCCCATGTCACAACATGCTCCAGCCCCTGCCCAGAACACCCAAGCTCTCCCCCAGCAGTTCTGGTGGCTGGTTCCTACTTCTCCAGCCTCCTACACCCTTGCCAATGTTTCTAGAACACTCTTCATCAGCCCGCAAACCACTGGGAGCATTGCTCTTCCACCTCAATGCCATCAGGCACACCTGTGCATCCTCTGGCCCTGGGAAGTGGCGTGTCCTCCCCAAAGAGCCCCCTCTCTCCTCTCTCCTCATTCCTTTCTCTCCTGTGACACTAAACCTCCATCGCGTCCCTTTATCTCTGGACCCTTGCAGCAGGGATGATGGCTGGTGTTCTCTGCATCCCAGTGCCCAGGATGGGGCCTGGCTGGCACACAGCAGGTCCTCAGTGAACGCTGAACACAGAGACGGGTAAGGAAGCAAATGAGTGAGGCACATAGGAAATGGGGGTGGTGGTCAATGCAGCAAAGAGGTCCCCCCTGCTGGCCCTGTGGTTGGAGCATCTGGACTGACGGTGCAGCTAGGGCTGAGCTCCCTGCCCAGGTCCGCTTGCTGACTCACCCTCTCCCCAGAGACTGGTTTCTGGGAACACACTGAAGGCCTGGCTGGCTTCCCTAGCTAAATCCTCCATGTTGATCATGTTCTTCCCCAGGAGTCCCCGAGCTCAGAGGCTGTGCTCCCAGACCACCAGCCAGGGCCAGGCAGTGCAGAGGGAAGGGCCTCTCATGTCGGCAGCGGCCAGAAGCTTCTGCCTAGAATGGTGGTCGGGAGGCAGAGTCTGAGAGCCACCTGGCAGCTCCTACGGGATCTCCTGAAGTAGGGAGCGCTGCAGGACGCGTCACGGGCATCTCAGGGAGGTGGGAGACTGCACAATTGCACAGGCTGTCATGAGAACCAAAGGAGGAAACCAGGGGCCAGGCGGCATCAAGGACCCCACAGGGGAGTGACATGGAGAAATTTAAGAGCCAGCAGGGCTGCTGTCACTCTTTGGGATGCATGGCCCCTGAACCCCTCCCTCTGCCAGAGCCCCCCTCCCTCTCTGCCAGGCTGACTGCTGGGGAGGGTCCTCCCGACACAGAGCTGCCACCGGCTTTTCGTGGTGAACGGGCACGTGGCAGTACAAAAGTCCAGTGGCCCCATCTGGCATCCAATGTTGGGCTCTGGGGCCAAGGTATCTCCTCAGCCACTTCTGGCATGTGATCTGGGGTATTGTCCCTGACTGCATGTGGCCTTTGAGCCTGGCTCTCTGACCCCCTCCCAGACAATATGTCCTACTCGCTAGGCTAATGAATCCCTCTCTGTGTAATGAGTCAAAGCTGGTGTCTGTTATTTGGGACCAGAAACCAGGAAAGTGCCGCCCAAGAAAACGAAGGGAATATAGACTCTGTCACTAGAGTCTGGTGTCCAGAAGGAAGGAGGGTTTGGTCTGGCATATCTCTCTGTGCAGTGTACAGCACTGTAGGCAGCCCTAGCCTAACTCTGGGGGCGACATTGAGGAGGGATCAGTGATAAACTGGAGGATCTCTAGGGGACAACTGGGGTTCAGCATTCATGGCAGGGGTGTTTAGGCTTGGAGCCGAGTAGGCTGAGGGTTCTTAGGTTGGTTTAGGCTGGGCCCTATGGACAGTTCATGTGGTGGCGTCCAAATCTTGCTAACAGCGGGAAGAGCTTGAGGATGGACAGAACTGCCTCTAAAGAGATAAGCTCCCAGCACTGGAGGAGAGCAAGCACTGCCCCTGAATCAGACAAAAGCAGCAACCTCCCTGGGCTCAGCCTTGGGCTATGCCTCCAGAGAAGGTGAAGGAGTTAAACTGCAGCAACACAGAGCACTAGACTTAGCAGAAGCCCTTCTGGTACCCACCCCCAGCCACACCTCAGTTACAGCCCACCATGTGAGGCCAGGCGGGGGAGTGAGCCCCTGACCTACCAAGGAGCCAAGGAAGCTTCTTTACACACCCCAGCTGGCTTGGCTAGAAACCCAGGGATAAGAGGAGGGGACCTGCCTGGGGTTGAGGACACCAGGGTGCAAACCTCAGTAACCAAGGGTGAGTGATAAGGGCCCTGGAACCATTATTCTCCCACTGATCACAGATTGGTAACAAAGACTGATACCAGGCGCCCGTGAGGACAGGCCTGTGTTGAGGCCATGTGCTCTGGAACAGCCACTGCAGCCGGAAAGTTGGCAGATCCTATGGGAGTCCCCAAGTAGGGCTGCTGGCACCACTTCCGCTCCTAGGAATGATCCGCAGCTACATTCAGTCACATGCAGAATGATGTTGCATGTTGTTTGTGAAAACAGGAAATGGCAACACCCTTCCAAGAGATGATGTACATCAGCAAAGGGAAAAACTGGAGGCTTTTTCATACAAATAAGCTGGCTCGCCAAGATAAAGTGAGTGAAGCTGTAAATACAACCAGTAAGCTTCTCTGTGTGTGCATGTGTGTGTGTGTGTGCGTAAACCATGTCTGCTGAGGCACTGTAGGTAGAGACTGTCTTCAGAATGATGCACATGGAAGAGTAGGTATCTTGGGGAGGGAGTTTGTGAGAATGAGAAAGAAGAGACTGACATTTCATGGAAAGCATTATGAGCCTTGAATAGCTTTTGAATTTGCTCCAGTGTGCATGTGGTGTATACAGAAGAAAATAAAAAGAGCAAACAGACAGTACTAGGAAACAGAACCTGTGCTAGGCACTCCACCCTCCCACTCTTCACCCCGCATCTCCTGGGTGCGTGTGGCAGGTGTCACTGCTGCCTCTTTGGAGGTGATGCTTAACATTGAGAAACTGCCTACCTGTCACCCAGCAGGGCACGGCAGGGCTGGCTGAGTGGCCTGTGCCAGGTCCTGCACTATGACCTCTAGGTCTGGGAGGCGAACTCTGAAGATGGACGACTCTAGGAGCTCAGCTCTGGGAAGTCTCCAAGACCCCAGGTCATGGGGCACCGAAGAGGCCAAGTGTAGCCCTCTTGGGCTACACTTGGGGCCAGCAGTGTGACCTCCAGCAAGTAACTTTCCCTGTGCTCCTGAGCTCCATCCAGGTCCGTACTTCAGAAGCAGTAGGAGGAGTAAAGGAGGTGACAGCTGTTAAGGCCGCCACTCCCAAGCAGGTTCTCAAATATAATCCAGGCATTTCAGATTTGAATGGCCCAGTCCCCAAAGACCTGGCTGCCCTAACTCTCCCTGCCTTCTGGGTCCAGGCCACTCTAACACAAACATTCCCATTATTTGCTAAGTTCGCCTGATCTTTTCTTCATTCGGTGTACTTGTGCACAGGGCCTCCCGCGCAGCAGGCTCAGGTCCCAGGGAGGTCCTCCTAGCAGGGACCCCTGCAGTATCCACAGCCCCGCCCCCCACATTTGCCTAAGTCACCCCACACACACTCGGGGTCACAGCTCCCGTGAGCCTGGGTACAGCATTTCGGATCATGCCAGCTGCCCACACACGTACCATAGGCACCAAGCCTCCTGGCCTAAAGGGCTCCCCTTGTCCCACCGCTCCGGCCAGCGAGCCCAGAGACCACCCGGCGCCAGTGCCTCGGAGCAAGCTCCTCCCCTCCCCTGCCCTGTACAGCCAATGAGCGCCTCCGCCAGGGCTGGCCCCGCCCAACCCTGGGAGCCTGGCCACTGATTGGCGTGCCCGCGAGCACTACCCCCCCCGCACGTGGGGCGGGGGCGGGGGGGTGAATGAAGTGGAAGCGATTTCTCTGCCCCCCCACCCCCGCGTTTACCTCCCCCGCGGGTGAGGCCCGCCCCCCGCGGCTCCCAGTGCTGCGCCCGACAGCCGGCTGCCCGCTGCACTGGACCCTGGCGTCCTGCTCCCCTGTGCGGGGACCTCGAGTCGCGGACCCGCTATGGCCAAGCGCAGCTCGCTGTCCATCCGCATCGTGGAGGGGAAGAACCTGCCAGCCAAGGACATGTGAGCTCGGCGGTGGGTGGGAACCCCAACTTTCCAGGGAGGGGCGCTGCCCCTTATCCCTGACCTTCCCGGGGTCCACCGGTCCGCCTAGTAGTAGAGCATGGGCTAGAATATGACTTGTGGACGTGGTAGGAGACTGGCAGAGACGTGGGAACAGTGAGAACATTTGTTGTGACCACCAAGCACTGGGCAGGGGGTGACAGTTACTCTCTGTGAGAGCCGGCATGGAGGAGGGGGTGGGATCTCTGCCGGTGCAGGGAGGGAGTGGGTGGGAGGCGGTTTGAGGGAACAGGAGGTGTTTAGAGGGGAAGGGGCTCCATAGGGCCGTATCAGGGCATGGGGAAGCCAGCCATCACTGGGCAGACTTGCTGATCAACTGCGGGGGTGTGGCTGGAGGGAATGGGAATGCCCTGTGCAGATGAGGGGTCTTCCCCAGCAGCTCCAGAGCCCTTAGGACTCTGAAGGGTGCACCTCATGTGAATCTGCAGAGGAAACCTGGTGTGAAGAGGGCAGAACTAGCCGAGAGGCCAGGCAGGACCCCTGCAAGTTGCTGAGCAGGGGCGATGGTGCTGAGTGGAAACTGCTCCTCAGCCATGCCCTCAACCCTCACAGCCAGCCCTGCAAGGCATTCATTCTATTTTACAGATGAGGAACCCCCAACTCAGAGACCCGACTGGCAGGCCCCAGGTGACAGCGAGGGCTTGAGTGTCTGGCATCTAGGGCTTTCCCTGGCTCCTGGACAGATGTGAGGTTTCAGGAATCCTGGTCCACCTTCTCAGTAGGTCCCAGTGCTGAGCGGTTCTGTCTGACCTTGTTCCAACAGATTCCCTGTCACCAAAGCCTCAGTTTCTTTCCCCTTCCATTAGCTAGAGGTCTGAATTACTCTCCAGTAGGGTGGGTGGAAAGCTTAACGTTGGAGGGGTATTGGCTGCTTTGGGGATGCTGCCAGGGGAAAGGGATCTGGAAGCAGCTTGGGCTCCTAAATGTGCTGGGCTGAGCCTCCCTGCTCCCCACCAGCGGCTGCCTCAAGTGGGCTGCTGGATGCCAGGAGGAGGCAAGTCTGGGAGAGCCATGCAAGGGAGTGGGGAGGGCAACTCTCTTACACACTTACAATGGCCCCAGTAAGCTCCCCCCACACACACACACACTCACAGCACTCTCACAGTGCCAGAAGCAGTTCCAGTTCAAGGCCCCCTGGGCCTGATGAGGCCAGGCTCTGCAGTTGCCATGGCAATGGGTGAGGGTGAGGGAGGGGCTGGGCGTGCTGTCTCTAGGTGGGTTTCTGTGCTAGGGATGGGGTTAGGCAAAACCGGGAATGTGGTGTCGGGGTGGAGAAGCCAATGAGCTCTGAGGAGGGCCTTGGTCTGCACTCTCAGCCTGGAAGCATCCCCCAGGCTGGCACTGCGAACTGGGTCAGCGTGGCCTCCTCTGGCTGGTGGTGGCAGGGAGGAGCAGCCCCCCCCCCCTGCCCCTGGCTGCTGCCTCCCTCCCAGCCCCGCCAGGGTCCAGGTGCCTGGCTCCAGGCTTTCAGCAGCCCAGGGCAGTGGAGCTGTAAGGTGTGCCCACTGGGAGTCAAGGTGCTTGGTTCCCTACCCAGCCCTGCCTCTGCCTAGCTGTGGGGGTGGGGTGGGGGTGGGGAGCTCTGCACAGTGCCACCACCCCCGGACTCCCAGTCCTGTAGGCTGTGCCCCTGGAGTCTCTTTCCTTGCCCCTCTGGTCTGCTGCCCACTCACGACCCCAGTCTCCTTTCTGCTTGCCTTCCCACCGTAGCTGGTGCACACAGCTCTGACATGTCAACAATCTCTTAAGCCCAGCTGTGCCCCCTCAGCCCCTCACATTTGGGCAGCTGCCCCTCACTGCCCGGCTTTTGCACAGATGGAGCTGTTTTCCAGTGCCCCCTTCTCTGTCCTCCAGAAAACTCCTACTCAACCTTCAGGACCCCTTTCCGACTTCTGCTCTCCAGGGTTTTCCCTAGTGCCCTATGGCAGGATTCAGTGCCCCCTTTCCTGTGCCCTCCCACACTTGGGGTCAGCTGGAATTAGGACAAAGCCCTCGGTAGCAATTTCTCCTTCCTGGGCTTCCTGCCTCACACGACTGAGGGCAAGAACATGACTCATTCGTCTTGGCATTCTGGGTGCCCTGAGGAACACCCAGTGCAGGGTAGGCATTGAAGACCTTTCAGTTTCGCCCTCTTACTAGCCCTAGGCATAGAAAAGCTGAGTCTGCAGCTGGCGAAATAGGCTCAGGGTGTGGGAGTCATTTGCTGAGGCCATGAAACAGATAGTGGAGAAGTCAGATTTCAAACCCACTCTGTTGCTTCTGGCCACAAATCCTAGCTGGAGCGAGGGTGCAGGCCTGCTGTGAACATGACCAGGGCCACAGGAAGCGTGTGGCTGCAGGGGTGCAGACCTCAGGAGGCCCTCCTAAGCGCAGGGGTGGCGTCAGCCTGCCCCCTCATTGGCCCCCAGCCTGCTTCCTGAGCAACAAACAGCCCTTCCAGTTGGAGGTGCACACCTCTGAGTTCAGGAGGCTCGCCACCTCTCACCGCGGCTCAGATTGACTGAGAGGGGAGTTGTCATACAGCTGCCACCTGCCTCCCAGCCACTTTAAGAGTCTTTAGTCCTTTTAAGGGCACAGAGCACAGCTGTGCCCCCTATGCCAGAGCTGAGCCTGGCGGTTCCCATCATGCTTCCTCCCACCATCTCCCATCCTTGGGTGCCTGGATCAGCTGGACTGGAGCTGAATGTTGTGGTGGCTGGTGCCCCACTGGCTCCCTCACTGAGTGGCCCTGGGGACGGACCCGGGGCTATTTCGAGGTTTGCTCTGATCCTCCCCCTTCTACAGCCTGGAAACTGCCAAGGCCCTAAATATAGAGGCCCTGCAAGTAGCCAGACTGGGCCAGCAGCTTGAGGAAGTAGAAGTGGACAGGGGAATTGCCCAGGGAGCTCCTTAGGGTGCAGGGCACAGGCCCCAGCAGCTGGCTGGGCCCCATAATAGGGCCCAGGTCCTTAGATCTGGCCTTAGCCTACTCTTGAGACTGTCTGCTCACACCCCTCTGATCCAGCCACCCGGCTCCTCACTGTCCCTGTATGCCCAGATCTGTTCCCACCTCCAGGCCTTGCCCACCTTGTGCCCTGCCTGCAACATGAGCCCCAAGCCTCAGTGTTCATTCACAGATTCAGTCATTGAGTGAGAACTGAGCGGTGGACAGTGCTGGACTCACTGGATAAACAAGAGGCTTGCTGCCCCCAAGCCAGGAAGCAGGCCAGGGCAGCGGGGCCCAAGGGTGGGGGTGCCCACATCAACAGCTCCCTCCTTCCTCTGACCTCCTTGTTCCAAAATCTTGGCAGCCAGCTCCTGCGCATTGTTACCCAGCCCAGCCCAGGGCCTGCTTGCTCACAACCTGGAGTTCCCTGCCTTGGGTGGTGGGGTGCAAGCGATGGTGTTCCTAAAGGGCTGCCTGAAGGAGATGGCTCTTAAATGATGGAGAGAGGGGCAACAGACGGAGGCGCGAGCAGTCTCAGGCTAGCATCCATTCAGCACCTCTGTAACTTGCTTCACATCCCGTCAGGGACCCAGGCTGACGACCTGCGGGCTGGCGTTATGGCTGTGCAGGTGGGTCACCGAGTCTGGAAGACCCTCTCCCTTAGTTAAGAACCTTTGGAGGTGCTTGTTGGGAGCTGTTTCCTTCCCCAGAGGAGCTCCTTCTGTGAAGGGAAACAAAGCTTGGAATTCCCCAGCCTCCAAAAGCAAACACTTCCTTTTTATGGCTACTGGGCCTGCAGGGCACTTCTGGAGACAGTCCACGCCCCTCGCCACCCCCTGCCTCAGTGCCAGCCCCGTGTCAGGCTGGAGGCTGCTCTCAGTCCTCAGAATTCCCCACCCCCCATTGAAGCAGGTGGAACTGACCTGCCCTGGGTTTGTTTTCCACATTTGTTCGTTTACTCATTCATTCATCCATTCAGCAAACACTCACAGGGCCCTGTCTTGTGCCAAGCCCCTCCCAGCTCCTGGGGACACAGAAGTGGTCCCCACCCTCAGTAGCTTCTAATCAGGTAGGGGAGGCAGCTGATGAGAGTAGCCGTACTGGGGTGGAGGGAAATTCTCTGGTGAGCAAGGGGCTGCAGCGGGGACCTGACTCGGTGTCTGGGGTGGGAGGGCTGAGGCAGGAGGAGTGGGAGGGTCGTGGGGGCAGGAGGAAGAGCAGCCGCCTTCCCCAGCTGAGGGGACAGTGGGCATCCTGCCTCCCCTGGGGGGACAGTGAGCAGCCCTGCCTCCCACAGTGGGCAGCTCCTGCCTTTCCTTGCCAACGCTCCCGGGCTGAGGGAGTTGTTTTGGGCTCCCACCCCAGGACCCAGCGTTGACTGTCCTTTACCTGGAGTCACTGAAGGAGGGGCGCAGCTTGGGCAGCCCCCCCATTCAATCAGCACCCCCCCCGGTGTCTCTTACAGTAATGGCAGCAGTGACCCCTACTGCATCGTGAAGGTGGACAGTGAGCCCATCATCAGGTATCGCCCCAGGAGTGAGGGCTGGTGTGGTGGGGTCCCTTCCTCCCAGGGGTTCCCACTCACATACCTGGGGGTTGGAAGGGAGTGTAAAATTTGAACAGAGATGGGGTTAGCCTGGAGCATCCAATTTCCGGGCCCCTCCCGCTCACCCCTATCATGCCCTGAGCCCCTAACCCCTGTCCTAATTACTCTTCGGGGGGCTGGGCTCCCCCCCACCCCCCAGGGCTCTCACCCACTTTGTTCGTCAATAATCCTTACAGCCCCAAGAGAGACAGAGGAGGAATGGGGGCGGGAAGTAACACTTGTCACCTATGGCTTGTTAGGTCCAGCCCCGTGCCCAACCTTTTCCAGAGTATCTGATACTTACAGTGAGCTAGATATGACATCATCAAGCCCGTTACTGATGAGGAAACTGAGGCTGAGAGACTAGTTCACTTGCCCAGGGTCACATAGCTAGTAAGTGGCAAAGCCAGGCTCAGACCTAAGGCTGGCTGACCCCAAAACCCGAGCGCCTTCCTTCTCCCCTCTCTGGTTTTCACTTGAACTCAGGGAGCACTCTCCCTCATGCCACGTGGCTGCTCCTGCCCAGGCTGGGCATCCCTAGCCTGTCCCCCTTCCTTGTCCTGACCGTTCCTCCCTCCGTGGGCTCCACAGTTTTGAGCAGTCTGTGCTGTTCGGACGCTTCCCTCACCCAGCATCACCTCCGTGCTGGTGGCCAGAACTGTTCATGGTTCTGCTCTCCTGCGTCCCACTGGACCACTAGCCAAGGCCTAGTGACTCACTTCTTTCTCCCTGCAAGCAAGCACCAGCCTTGTCCCCTGGACACTAAGGAGAGGGACGTGACAAACAGGGAAGCAGAGGCCCCAGAGTTTGTGACCTGTTGGGATGCAGCCTAAGCCCTCAGCTGAGTCCTTGATGGGGCCTGCAGCCTGCCCTGCCCACATACCCTGCTGGGCGCCGTGAGTTGAAGGCTGTGATTCTGGGAGTGTTGGTCAGAGTCGGGCGAGACCCTGCCCAAGTAAGATGCCTCTGGGTCAGGCTCCCAGGAGGACCGTCTGGCTGTAGAATCAGCGTGGCCAGCCCTGCCTGCACCTCCCATCTGTTCGGCGTCAGGAGCTGGGCCGAGACGGGGAGGCCGGGTTCTGCCACTGTCCTGCCGAGTGACTCGAGACCAGGTTCTGCCAAACTGCTCTCGTTTCTCCAGATGTGAAGTGGCCTGATAGATGCAGCCCGGAGCCCCGCCCAGGTCACAAGGGAGTGATTGTAGTGGACAGAGGGGGCTGGACAAGGAAAACCATCAAACAGCACGGCCACTTGTTTAAGGGATCGCAAGGGGAATGTGAGGAAAGGCTGGCTCGAGTCCCACAGCCTGGGGCCTGCCAGTGGCCTGGACAGGCGCTGAGGGTCCTCTCCTGTAGGTCAGCCACCGTGTGGAAGACCCTGTGTCCCTTCTGGGGTGAGGAGTATCAAGTGCACCTGCCACCCACCTTCCACACCGTAGCCTTCTACATCATGGACGAGGATGCCCTCAGGTGGGTGGCCCTACTCTTTAGCTGTGTCTGGACCCCACCATCTGCCCCTCCCTGGCCATTGCCCTGCTGGGACTGCTGGTCACATTGTATCCTCTGTGGCTTGGAGCAAGGGGGAGCCCCTGAAGGTTGGGAAGGGTGCAGGGCTGAGTGTGGGGTGTCATGTGTGTCCACCATGCTTGCACCCCATCCTATGTGGCCATGTGTGGGAATATACACCTTGTGCACTGTGCTGTGTGCTCATGGGGATTCAAGCTAGGAAGCGGGCTCTCAGAAAGCTTGAATGTGGCGTGTGTGTGGACACACAGCCCTGTGCAGAAGCTTATCACATGCCCACGAGTGTCCAGAATCCAGGGCCTACAGCAGGGCCATGGGTCCTGCTCCGGTAGGATCCTGTATATGACTGGAGTATTGACCCCCTGGCTCTCCCCAGGAGACCTAAGCTGGGTGGGAGGGGGGTCCCATGCTCCCTGTAAGCCCTGCCAAGCTCCAGCTCCATCTCCACCTTCCAGCCGGGACGACGTTATCGGGAAGGTCTGCCTCACCAGGGACACCTTGGCCGCACACCCCAAGGGTAAGCTCCCCAGGAGGGAGACCCCAGCCTGCCCCAGCCCCTTCCCCTCGATGCCATTCTGCCTGCCCTCACTGGTCTGCCCAGTCCCCAGTCTCCCCCTTCACTCAGAGATCCTTTCTCGAGGTTCCTTCAGGTCTCATGCTCATCCATGAAAAGTCATTTCTACATTCCCCAGAAAGTCCTGTGGCTATCTGCACCCCATCTCTGGGCCTTGGGGCCCATTTTGTCCCTGGGCTGGGACTGCATCCCCCACCCCAGACAAAGGCAGGACACAGTGGCAGGATGAGATGCCTCTGCAGGCGTCCATTGCTGTCTCAGAATTCCAGCAGGGAGCCGAGCCGAGGACAGTGGGGGACAGAGTCCAACCCCCTACCTCTGCCAGTCAAAAGAAAGGCCTGCACAGATCTGCCTCTGCTGCCTTGCTGGGGTACAGGCCCCTCCTCCCAGTCAAGCTGGCTCCTCTACGCCTGTGGGGCCCCCCAGCCTGGGCCCTGATGCCAGTCTGCCCTAAATCGGACTAGTGGAGCCGATGCTGGTGGAGGCTGGACAGCCCCTTAGATGATTCCTGGGCTTCTGACACTATTTGGAGGGGTAGCCTTAAGCTGCACTGCCTTCTCCGGGGTGAGTCTCCCTCTGCCAAGGAGGCATCAAATCTAGATATTCAGGGTCTGACGGCCCAAGCCCTGCAGGTGCCCCTGGAAAACACCTGCTCCTGTCTAGGAGGGAGGCGTGGGGGACGCTGCTGACTCACTGAGCCTCCTGGCCCCTGCAGGCCAGAGGCCGCTCCAGCCCATGGCCCAGCCAGCCCCTTCGAGCCTCTTGTCACTTCCCCACAGGGTTGGGCCCTCCTCTTGGCAGCCACAGGTGAGAGCCACTCCCTTTGAGGACAGAGAGGGCAGTCCCATGACAACTCTGGATCGGGGTGACCAAATGTGACCTGCATGGCACAGTGACAGTAGGGGTCCTGGTGTCATCAGACTTGAATTCCAATCCCTGCCCTTGCAACTGCTGTGCTCAGCTTCTGAGCCTCAGTTTCCCCATCTGTCACAGGGGTAACTTGAGATGGTGGAGGGACCACGTGGTGCCTGGTGGGGTTGAGGGCAAGGGGGTGAGGGGAGCCCTGGCTGAGCCACAGTCCCACAGGTTTCAGTGGGTGGGTGCACCTGATGGAGGTCGACCCTGATGAGGAGGTGCAGGGCGAGATCCACCTGCGTCTGGAGGTGATGCCGGGTACCCGCGGCTGCCGGCTGCGCTGCTCAGTACTGGAGGCCAGGTGAGATGTGGGGGGCCGGTGGGGGGCAGTGAGCGGCGAGAAAGTGGAGACACCACCTTAGATGTTGGGCCTTCTGGTCCCCACCCCACCTCCCAGCACCTACTCCCATCCCGAAGATTGGGGGTGTTTCCTGGGTGACCCATTCAGAAGGACTTGCGCATTAGGGGGCCAGAAGGTATTCCAGTGATGGAACTGGGGCATGATAGAGCAGTGGGTGAAGGGGGTCTCAACCCTGGCCGTGCACCCCTAATACCAAAACTGGGCTTTCCCTGGGTTGAATGCCAATATGAACCTGACCTGGTGTGTGTGTGTGTGTGTGTGTGTGTGTGTGTGTGTGTGTGCGCGCACCTGGGTGGTTGTGGGCGGACGGGGGTGGGGGCGAGGAGAAAGGAATGGAAAGAGTTGCTGAAAATCTCTATGTGGGAGCAGTGCGGTTCTTGGATGGGAAGAGCCAGTGGCCTGGATGGGAAGGTGGGCACTGGCCCTGTGTGCCTGAGTCACCTGTGACCAGGCACCCCTGCCCTGGGTATTTTTAGCCACAGGCTCCACTCCAGTCTAGGCGTGGGTGTGAGTCACCTAATGCAAGAGAAGTGCCTTCCTCTCTGGCTGAAGCCTTCTCAGGGTTCCTAGCCGCCTCTGGGGTGGGAGGGCAGCCCCGCCTCACCTCGGGCCACCCGCACCCTGAAGGAGCTGAAGGAGGGCGCTCACGCCCCAGGGAGACGCTCTCCTGTAATGAGGACTGTGATGAGGACTGTGGCCCCAGCTCTAAATTCTGTCTCGGGCTGGAATGGGAAGTGACGTAGTCGGATGGAAATGGTCAGCTTCAGGCCGTGCCACGGTCACACCCTCAGAATCGCCACCCACGCCAGCCGCCCCTGCTCACCCACTTCCTCCATCCTCGGCCGCTCACCCGTGACTATTGGGGACATGTAGCTGAGCCGGCAGCCACCACCTAGCAAGGCCCTGGTGGAGGAGGGGTCTGTGCAGGCCTTTCTTTTGACTGGCAGAGGTGGGGGGTTGCAATCTGTCCCCCACTGTCCTCAGCTCAGCTCCCTGCTGGAATTCTGAGACAGCATAAGAAGCTGCCTTTGCTGCAGAAAGAGAAAGAACATTCCGTCCCCTTTCTGGGCAGGCCCTCAAGGCTGAGCTCTGGGATTGTGAGACAGCAGTGAGGGACAAAGAAAAGCAGACAGGAGAGCCTTAAAACTTCAAATACTGAAAAGAGCAGAAAATAACACAGCCGATGGAAGCGTGGTGGGTGGTGTTCTTCCACAAAGGGCTCTAGTCTTGGGGTGCGGCGCCCACATCTGGGCTCCATCTGTGGAGCGAGGGCAGGACGATCCACTGGGGCTACTCACCCAGGTCCTCCCAAGGAGGGGATGTTGCAGGGACAGGCCTCCCGGAAATCCACGTCTCCTCTATGGCTTATGTTCTCCATTTGGCCAGAAAGAAACTGAAGCCCTCTGCTTATGGGGGCACAGCCAGCCTGCCCCTGCTCACCACACCGCCTCCCCAACCTCCAGAGCTGGCGCAGCATCTCCCCTGCTGTGGCCTAATAGGAAGGAGCTGTGGCCTGTACCTTGAGGGGTCCTCGGCCTGGTGTGCGTGACACATGGGGGCCGGGGGCTGAGCACTGTGGGGATCAGTCAGGGAGAGGCGCTGTCTGCTGTCACCCAGCTCGCCAGGGGCAGGACAAGCCTCTCTAGCCTGGTGTGGTCACTCACAGAGGTGGGTGACAGCCTGAGGGGGGAGGGGCTTGGGTGACAGGTCGCTGTTCTATCCCGCACCCTCCCTCAGGGACCTGGCCCCCAAGGACCGGAATGGCGCATCTGACCCCTTTGTCCGAGTGCGCTACAACAGCCAGACACAGGAGACCTCGGTGAGGAGCCTGTGGGCGGGGAGGGCCAGCGGGGAGGGCCTTTGTGGGCCCTGCTGCCCACCAGTGCTCACCATCACCTAGGATCAGGCCGGGTCCGCCTGTCACAGAGGGGGCTCGGGAAAGTGGGTGGCCTCTCTGAGGGTGCAGAGGGCCCTACTGGCTAGACCATCCCCCGGGCTCCTCTGCAAAGCCCGCCAGCTGCCCGTGCTGCTTTCCTGGCCTCTGGGGAGCAGGACACGGACACCTGGTTCTCAGTATCATCTGCTCCTTTTTTTGCTGCGTGACCTTGGACCAATGCCTTACCCACTCTGGGCCTCAGGTTCCCTACTTGGGAAACAGGGGGTGGGTTCTGAAAGGAAGGTTTGCCCTCTGCTGTTGCAGGCTTTCTGCCGGAACCCAGGAGAGGAGGGTTCCGGCAGGGAACCCAAAGGTGGCTCTGAGGAAGCCCTGGTGGAGTCAGCCCCTCTCTCCCACTCCCCCACCCCCTTTCTGGGCAGGTAGTGAAGAAATCACGCTACCCACGCTGGAATGAGACCTTCGAGTTTGAGCTGGAGGAGGGGGCCGCGGAGACACTGTGCGTGGAGGCCTGGGACTGGGACCTTGTCAGCCGCAACGACTTCCTGGGCAAAGTGAGCACCTGCCTCCGCCATTCACTTGCCACCTTTGGTGTCCGGCCTCCATTCTCCAGAGAAGGCACTTAGGGGGCCTGCGACTCCCCAGAACCAGCAGATCCACCGTTATCCCCCGCCACAGCTCAGGGGCTCCCCAAAAGTATTCCCTTGCCCTGGCCCTAGGTGGTGTTCAACGTGCAGAGACTGAGGGCGGCCCGGCAGGAGGAGGGCTGGTTCCCGCTGCAGCCTGACCCATCCAAGACGAGGCGGCCGGAGTGAGTGTGGGGACGTGGCTGCTGGCCCTGTGTCCCGGGAGGCTGGCCCGCAGGCAGGCCATGGGCTGGCCAGGGTGGGGCCGGGAGCACGCTTCCCTGTCAGGCTGGATCCACCTCCTCACCCTTCCCACAGTACAGGTCTCCTGCTTTCAGGAAGATCCCGGAGTGAGCCTGAAGACCTTTCCCTTTCAGGGTTTCTCTGCAGACCTTAGACTAGAGTCAAGTCCACAGAGCTCTGAGTCAGTGCCCCTGAAATGTAGCTCTGACTTCCCCAAGCTTCTCTGGGGATAGGGCAGCCCGGTGAGATACAGGACGTCCAGTTAAAAGTGCATTTCAAATAAACAATGGATACTTGAGACAAGCTTACATTAAACTATGCAGATTTAGCTGGGTGTCTTGTATGTATTTGGTAAATCTGCCAGCCCTAGCAAACCAGCCAGCCCCCCGGCCTTGCCCACCACACAACCAGAAGTGCCCCCCTCGTGGGTGACTCAGCTCTGTCTTCTGCAGGAGCTCCCATCCCCACCCTCAACAGGACAGGGCAGGGTGGACAGCTGTGCCTGGTGCCAAGGCATGTCCGAGGGCCCAGCCCAGGGCTGCTCCTGAGTGAGGTCACACGTGGAGCAGCAGCACCTGAGCCGTGCTGTGGGAGCGGGGCCCTGAGGGAGTTAAGCCCTGGCCAGTGACCTCAGCAGGGTGGGGCAGGGCAGGGGAGCTTGGGGTAAGAGCTACAGTGGCAGGTTGCTTACTCTGCTTGAGTCGGCTTCCCCTGGAAGGTTGTGAGGCCTCTTGGGGATTTGCTTCCAAGGTAAAGCTAATGTGTGAAGGACCTGTTATGTGGGAGTCTCAGGCTCGGGTCTGGGACGGCATGTCCACAGGCTCAGAGCCCGCGGGGCCTCGCGGTGTCAGGGAGCCAGGCCTTGAAGACGGATGGCGTTCCCATGAGTGTGGAGGCAGGCCCTTTTCCAAAAAAGCAGTGGCATGGGCGAAGGATGGGAGTGGCACAGTGCCAGGAACCTGAGCCGCCCCCCAGGAGAGGATGGGAGCAGTGGGGAGGCCGCCGGCGGGGCGGCCTGGGGCCCTGGCAAGGGGTCATGGTTGCCTGTCCCAGGGGCAGCCTGGGCTCCTTGCAGCTGGAGGTGCGGCTGCGGGATGAGACGGTGCTGCCTTCCTGCTGCTACCAGCCCCTGGTGCAGCTGCTGTGCCGTGAGGTGAAGCTGGGCACCCAGGTGAGGGGGCCCCTGGGGAAAGGGAGGGTCCAGGGGTAGTGGCCGCCCTCCCTGTCTTTCTCAGTTCTCTCTGCAAAACAGAAAACCGTTCTCAGGTTGGTAAGGAATGAGCCAGTGCCCCGGGCCCCTTGCCAGCCCATGGGAAACCCACCCAGCCGGGACCCTGAGGTCCTCAGGGTAAGGACCGGGGGTCACTGTGTGCCCTCCTGCCTGTGTTGCTTCCCGCAGGGTCCAGGGCAGCTGATCCCTCTCATCGAGGAGCTGACGAGCACAGAGTGCCGCCAGGAAGTGGCCACCAACCTGCTCAAGCTCTTCCTGGGGCAGGGGCTGGCCAAGGACTTTCTGGACCTGCTCTTCCAGCTGGAGCTGGGTCGTACCAGTGAGGCCTGGGAGGGGCGGCCTGGCTGAGGGATGGCAAAGAGGGGAGCGAGGAGCCGAGGGTCCCAGAGATGCAGGGAGAAACACAATTAGGAGGGAAAGAGCAAAACGCAAAGGGGGACAGTGGGTTGGGAGGTGGCGAGACTCAAGGACAGTGCCGAGGGGCCCCAGGGCGAGACTCCAGGACAGTGCCGAGGGGCCCCAGGGCCCTCGGTGCTCCCCAAGGCCTTGTTCCTTTTCCAACCCCCTTCTCTGCTTGTAGATGAGGCTAACACCTTGTTCCGGAGCAACTCTCTGGCCTCAAAGTCCATGGAGTCTTTTCTGAAGGTGAGGTTATGTTTTGCAGATGAGAAAACTGAAGTTCAGAGAGGCCAAGAGACCAGCTGGAACTTGAGTTTAGGTCTCTGTCTCTGTCTAGGTGCTTTAAGTAAGGCTAAGAATTTCATCTCTGCCCCCTTCCTCCCACCTGCCTTCTCCCTGCTGCCCTTCTCTCCATTGCTAACCACCTTCCCGGTGTGCCCGGGCCCCATGGGTGGGCGCGGCCGACCCCTGTGCATGGGAGGCCGGCTTTGGCACTGGAGGTGCAAGACAGGATCCGTGCGGCTCGTGGTGGCCCCCAGGTGGCTGGGATGCGGTACCTGCACGGCGTTCTGGGCCCCATCATTGCCAGGGTGTTTGAGGAGAAGAAGTACGTAGAGCTGGACCCCAGCAAAGTGGAGGTCAAGGATGTAGGGTGAGTCGGGTGGGGGTCACTGGGGCACGGGATGGGGACGGTGTTTCTGCAAGTGTACGGTTATGGTCCTTCATGTCTGGCCCACGTGTGCGTGGTCTGTGTGTCCCCCTCCCGGCTGATACGTTTCTGCATGTGTGTCTCCGGGAGCCGGGTCTGAACCATGCGTGCGGACACTGACCGCGCGGCCTTCTCCCGGGTCCGCGGGGGGCCTCGCAGGTGCTCGGGGCTGCACCGCACACCCACGGAGGCCGAAGTGCTGGAGCAGAGCGCACAGACGCTGCGTGCCCACCTGGGGGCGCTGCTGAGCGCGCTCAGCCGCTCGGTTCGCGCCTGCCCGGCGGTGATCCGCGCCACCTTCCGCCAGCTCTTCCGGCGCGTGCGCGAGCGTTTCCCTGGCGTCGAGCACGAGGTGCGCGCCCCGCCGGGGCCGCGGGGAGACGGGTGGGCCGCGGGCGGAGGGGCGCCAGGCCGCGGCGGGGAGGCGCGCGTCGCGACGCCAGGGGCGGGCCCGTGTCAAGGGGAGAGGAGGCGACTGCGCCAACGGGGGTGGGTTGCCGGGAGCCCAGGTCTGGGGGGCCTCAGCCCCCCATCTCGCTTGCCTCCCCCAGAACCTGCCCTTCATCGCCGTCACCAGCTTCCTGTGCCTGCGCTTCTTCTCTCCTGCCATCATGGCGCCCAAGCTCTTCCACCTGCGGGAGCGGCACGCGGACGCGCGCACCAGCCGCACCCTGCTTCTGCTGGCCAAGGTGCGGCCGGTGGGCGGGAGGGAGGCCCAGGCTGCCCGCTGCTGTGGTGAAGCCACTTCACAGTCTGCAGAGCATCCTCACAGTCACCCACTGTGTGCCCGGGCAAGGAGGCGAGAGCTGGCAACCTGCGGCCTGAATCGGGCCTTCCAACCCGCAGGCTGCGCACCTGCCTGGGGCCGTCCTGGTGGACTAAGTCAACAGAGTCGGCCCAAGTGATCTCACCTATCAGGCCCCAGAGGCTTCTGTGATGGGGCCGCCCTTGACCGAGTGATGGGGGGTGGGGTGCACAGTGAGCTTGGCGGTGGCCTCGGTCCCACAGCAGGAAGAGCACGATTTGGCAGAGGAGGGCCTCGTGCATGGCCACGCCCTGACCCAGCAGAGCCTGGCCCTTCCCGCTGTCCCCGCAGGCGGTCCAGAACGTGGGCAACATGGACACAACTGCATCCAGGGCCAAGGAGGCTTGGATGGAGCCCCTGCAGCCCACTGTGCACCAGGGCGTGGCCCAGCTCAAGGACTTCATCGCCAAGCTGGTGGACATTGAGGAGAAGGAGGGTGAGCGCAGCCCGGCCTCCTGCTCGGTCCGCCCCACCCGCCCTCGCCCTGGCCCTGGCTCCTGTCTCACCCTCCCTCCCTGGCAGAGCTGGACCTGCAGCGGATGCTGGGCATGCAGGCACCCCTGGTGAAAGAGGGGCCGCTCTTCATCCACAGAACCAAGGGCAAGGGCCCCCTCATGTCCTCCTCTTTCAAAAAGCTTCACTTCTCCCTCACCACAGAGGCCCTGAGCTTTGCCAAGACACCCAGCTCCAAGGTGGGTGAGGAGGGAGGTGGGCCAGGGGGGCTCGGGTTAGAGCACCCTGGAAACTCGTGTCCCCTAAGTCCGAGCCCCCGCGAGGGCCTGCGAGGGTCGGAGGAGAGGCAGGCAGGGCCGGCCTGCTGTCAGCCGCAGGGGCACCTCAGACGGATGCGAATGCTCCTTCACCCAGGGAGCGTGGGCAGGCAGGGGCGGTGTGTCCAGCCTGGCCCCTCGGTCGGGGTGTGGAGCTGAGGGCCACTTCTCAGAGACAAGGGAGACAGTTGCCGGGAGGAGCCCTCGCTTCTAGAGTCGTTTCCCTTGGGGTAGTGTCTCCGGCTCTCGGAGCCTTGGTCTGTAAGCCGGGAATAGTGGTCCCCGCTTGCCCACAGGGGATGGGGCGATCTCTCACAGGTCGGGGATGGGGCCTAGCCAGAGCCCTCCCCCGCCAGGCTGGCCTTCATCAGTGCTCTTCTCTCAAGAAGACATATTTCTTGGATGGGCCTGTTGAAACCCAGTTGGGCCAACGTGATGCCAGTCAGCCAGGCTCTGGGAGCAGTGTGCCAGGGGTGCCCTGCTCAGCCCTGAGCACCTGGGAGGGGCGGGGATGAGTGAAGAAGCTCCCTGGGCCGACACTCAGCCCAGGCCTCCTATTTTTCAGCTGCTTAGCCGTTCGCAGCTGCCCGGCCTGCAGGCTGCCTGGCATTTTCTACAGCATTTCAGCCTGGTGACCTGCCTAGCAGGGCCCTCGGTTCCTTTCCTCTGAGCTCGGCCCTCCTGAGCTGTGGGTGCAGCCGACCCTGGGCAGCACCGCTCCTGCTGTCGCCTGCCTCCTGCCCAGCATGGGCAACATCTTCTCTGGGCCGTCCCTTCTGTCCTCGGGGAGGCCCGACCCTAGGCAGCTCAGCAACGTCCTGGGGTCTCCCCACGGGCAGCACCAGGCGTCCCCACGTCTCCCCAGGGCAGCACTGCTCCTCTGTGGTTGCTGAGGCCAGCAGGGTGGTGGCTTGGGTGCCAGGCTGGGGCAGGCGCACATTGCCCCAGGGCCAAGGAGCCTGGCATCAGGTGGTGCTCAGATGCAGCTTTAGCACATAGCTGGGTGACCCTCAGGGATGTGCAGTTTCTCTGTCGCATTTGTATCATCAGACTTACGATGGTGGAGGGAGGACGAGGGCAGTGAATGTGAAGGAAAGGTATGAAACGGGTAACTGCCAGGTGGGGTCTGGGCTATAAGGGCACTGTCCCTGAGTCCTGGGGAGTGACCGGCGCCCAGAGGCGTTGCCGAGCCCAGCCCTCCCGGGAGTGGTAGGGCCAGAGGGAGGCCAGGCCCTTGCTGACACCTGCACTCTGCTCCTGGCAGCACAGACACTGGGTTACCCATGCCAGCCCCAGGCACTGCAGAAGGGGGCACTGAGGCCTAGCGAGAGCAAGCAGAGTGGCCCCCCGAGCCCTGACACCCCTTCTACTGTCTGCCCCAGAAAAGTGCCCTCATCAAGCTGGCCAACATCCAGGCAGCAGAAAAAGTGGAGGAGAAGAGCTTCGGCAGCTCGCATGTCATGCAGGTCATCTACACGGATGACGCAGGCAGGCCCCAGACCGCCTACCTGCAGTGCAAGGTGCAGACGTGTGGAGGGGCCCCTCCGGGAGGGGGTGCTGGGGGACCCTTCCAGGCAGGCTGTGATAAGGACGAAATCTGCTCCTTCCCGCCACATCAGGCACAGCGGGGCTGTGAGAACTGATGTGAGTCCAGTGGGGTCCGCCCCTGGGTGGGACCCCTGGAGGCCTCGCCCCGTCTCTGTTCGCACCGGCGTGTAGGCCTGTGTGTATCCACTGCGTGACAGGCGTGCCCGTGTGCACACTCTGGGGACTAGTTCACTGCCTGAGTTGGTACCATGTGTTATCCTCAGTCTCTGTGTGTGTCTCTGCTCTCAAGCCCCTTGTGCAGTCGCTTATGCAGCTAAGAAGTCCCATAAGTGCTCACTTCACATCTTTGGGAGGTTCTCAGAACCCCAGCTTTGAGGTAACGGCGTACAACAATGTGTAAAGCAAGCCCGTCCTCACATAATGTCTGCCTTTCACCATGGGCAGATTGTTTTTTCTCTACTTTTTCGTGAAGCAGCATTTGTTGAATGAAATGAAATGAAAGGGTCCGGAAGCACCTAGAAGCTCCCAGGCACTGTTCCAGATCTGGGGTACGGGCAGGCAAAACAGCCCGCCCTCTCAGAGCAAGGGAGCCCTCATGGGGCGCAGCGGGGACAGGGGGGCTGCTTTACAGAGGAAGGCCGGAGGGGGGCCTCTGACAGGTGGTGTTTGTGCAGGGGCCATGGTGAGGGGAAGAATCCTGGTCAGTAGGAGGCTGAGGCTGGACGGGACGTGGCCAGTTCCCTGGAGTGACGGTCCTACAGGTGGTGGCAGGTCACAGGGCTACCTACTGGACAGCACAGTTAGGGCACAGAATGCCCTCGGCCTTCCTGTTAGGGCAGGGCGCCAGTGGTGACTGAAGTCCAGGCCACGCTCTGCTGCCCGAGCCTTGTGCCCGGCGTGGGCCGCATCTGCGGGAGAGAGGGCACCTGTCCTGTTCACTCGGGGTGTCCGGTGGGCTGGGGAGCAGCGCCCCAGGGAAGGCGTGCTTCCTCATCGTGGCCACCCTCCACGCCCTGTAGTGCGTGAACGAGCTGAACCAGTGGCTGTCTGCGCTGCGGAAGGTGAGCGTCAACAACCCTGGGCTGCTGGGCACCTACCACCCTGGCGTCTTCCGTGGGGACAAGTGGAGCTGCTGCCACCAGAAGGACAGGACAGGTGGGCCCCTCGCCCTGCGTCCGTCCACGCCCCGTGTGCCGCGGGGACTCAGCTGAGGCCAGGCAGCCCCTGCAAAGGCCCGGGAAGAGCAGGCTCTGGGCCCAGGTGCTTGGAGATGGGGCCCACTGCGCCTGACCCTGACTGTGTGCCGCACAGGATGCATGAGGCATGAGAATCCTCGCTCGCGCCACTTAACCCCTCACGTCCCCAACTCATATGGGGAGCCCAGGGAAGGAGCTTCTTGCTGAGCCAGTGTTTGAAGAACACGAGGCGTTCTTGTGGGGACAGCTGGGGAGGGTGCCGAGTTCGCACACTTCCTTGCTGTCAGCTCGAGCTCTGACACCCGAGCTCTGAGTGTGTGTAAGTGCACCCTGGCCTTGCGCACTGGCGGGGCGCAGGGAGGAACCTCTAGAATGCTGGGTGATGAGGAAATGGCACGTCTGTGACCCCAGGCTGTGTGTGGGCCAGCCAGGAACATGGGCGGCTGGTGAGCACTTGGCATGAGGCTGCTGTGGCTGATGAACTGAGTTTTAAATTTTTTTTTAAGTTTTCACTGATTTTAAATAACCTCATGTAACCAATTTCTGTTGGTTAGGGAACTTAGAGAATATTCTCCCCTTGTCCCCACCTGCTTCATAAAACTCTGACTCCCCAGTCAGAGGAGACAGCACTTGGATCCCCAGCTCCAGGCAGGTGGTGGCTCTGTCCCCGGGGCCTAGCATGGTGTGGCCAGTGGAACCTGACCCCTACCCTGGCCCAGCCTGATGTGCCCAGTGGGGGTGAGGATGAGCAGTAGCGGCTCTTTCGAGGGTTATTGGACCTGCAGCCTCTGGCTGTAGCTGCCACGGGGGTGACCCTTGTCTTTGGTGCCCTGGGGCTCTCAGAATGAGGAGAGCCCGGTACCCCATTTTATGGGGGAGGAGAATGAGGGCGATACCTTTGCCAAGGCCATAAAGCCAGCAAGTGTCAGCCCAACTCAGTCCAAGGCACAAGTCCCCAACAGCTCACCCCACCAGACATGACATTTCCAGGCAGCGCCGGCTTCCTTCCAAACCTTCTAGAATGTTCCCCAGCGCCCCAGGTGGTTCCGCATTATGCCATGGCTCAGAGGCTGGGCCTCAGAATGATGCGCCTGAGTCCAGAGCGCTCCCTTTCCCGGAGCTCCCCCAGCACCTGCCCACAACGTCTCTCTGCCCCCAGATCTTGGCTGTGATAAGACCCGGTCACGGGTGACCCTACAGGAATGGAGTGACCCTCTGGACCACGACCTGGAGGCCCAGCTCATCTACCGGCACCTGCTGGGCGTGGAGGCCGAGCTGCGGTGAGGAGGCTGGAGGAGGCGGGGGGGGACAGAGGACTGGTCACTCCTGTCTAGTCAGACCCAGCACCTTCGCCTTCTCAGCCCATCGGGGCGGCGCTGCACCTCTGCAGGCCGAGGCAAGGTGTGGCTACCTCTTGCCTGTGCTGCTCTGCTCCCGCCTCTGCCCACGCATCTGCCCACGCTTCCCGTGGTGCCCTCAGAGTGCAGCCATTTACCGTTTTCCTCTCAGTGGTTCTCGACGCTGGCTCCAACTTAGAAAACACAGGATGCTTTTCAAAAACAGCTTTAAAAATCAGGATTCCTGGGCCCTACCCGTGGACTCAAAATTTCTGTAGGGGTGGGAGCGGGGCTGGGGCCCCGGCATGGGATACTGTAAAGCCAGGTGCGCCCCGGAGCACGGCTTCCCCTGCGCCTTCTCCCTCCTCTCAAGGCCTCTGGAGGGTCTCTGCCAGCGATAGCCCCGCTTCCCTGGGAGCTGCCGTCCAGCACCCTCCGGGTCGCCCTGCGGCCACCTTCCGCCTGACGGGGCTGCGTTATCAGCCCCCGGCCCTGCTTTGGCTCCCCCGCTCAGTGACGTCACCATCCTGCCACTTTGCTCCTGAACCCCACCTACCCGGGTCCGCCCTCCCAGGCCACACCAAGAAATTGCCCTTCGTCCTCCCCCTCATTTTCCAGGCTCCATTTGACTCCCCCTTTGTGTAAGCATGTGTTTCACAGCCACTGCATCCACTAGGAACTCTGTCCCCACTGAAGCAGGAGGTGGTGGAACCAAACCCAAACTCAAGCGACCTTGGGTTCAGGTGGTCCCCCCTGGGGACCCGTGCCGAGGTCCTGACACCCCCGCCCCACCCCAGGAGCGCCCCTGCAGAGCCGCTCAGCCTCCCCCCCCACCATCCCCCCTCACCTCCTCCAGTGTCCAGCCTCGCTGGCTGCGGCCCTCCCGTCCACGGCGCCTGCTGATGGCCCCTTGGCTGCCCTAACGTCAGCACACATGTGGGGACTTGAAACAGCAGGATTGATTCTGTCCGAGTTCTGAGGTCAGAAGAACAAAGTCGGTGTGAATGGGCTGGTGCCCCCCCCCCCCCCCCGCTTCTGTCCTCACGACACTGGCTTCTTGCTTTGACCTCGTCTCCGCTTCCAAAGACCCTGTGGTTGCAGTGGCCTTTCTCCGTGCCCTCCTCGCCCCCCAGTTCACGGCAGCCCCCCGGCAAGCCCAGCTCTTGGCTTAGCTCCTGAAACCCAGCCAGACCTCGCCTCTCCTCACATGTCTCCACCACGGTTCACCCACGTCAGGCCTCTGCAGCTCTCACGATCCACTGTGCACAGTCCTCAGAGCACCCCCCTCAAACAAAGTAGACCTCATTATTCCCCTGTTTAAGCCCCTCATGACTTCCCACGCATTTAAAACCCAGAGGCCTTCCCTGGGCCCTCTGTGGCCAGGCTGGCCTGCTGGACCCCCACCCCTCCCCCCACCGCCCCGAACCAGCTGCAGCTACCCTTGCCTTCTTGCGTCTCTGCCCGCCCCTCCCCCAGGCCCTCAGCACTTGCTGTGTCTTTGAGGCTTTTCCCTAGGGGACTTGTTCCCTCACCTGGTTCAGGCTTCTGCTCAAGTGCCTCCCAGTCAAAGAGGCCTTTCTCCCCCGCCGCTGTGACTGCAGCAGCTCTGGCTCTCGCTGATAGGTGCTGTTTCCTCCGTGCCCGTATGCCAGCTACACTGTGAGCCCCTAAGGGGCACCTCTGGTGTCTGCTGCACTAATCCCAGTACTGAGAACACAGCCTGCCCCTCCCCAGCTCCCTCAGTGAATGTTGAATAGGCAAGGGCAGAGGGTAGGGGGTGGCGTTTGGGCTACTCTGTAAGGATTACCTGGATCTGGAGAACAAGCCAGGGAAGGGCATAGTGGGCGGGCACCAGGGCCACATGGAGGAAAGGTCAGGTGATCACACCTGCGAGAAGCAGGTAAGCAGGCAGGCGGCCCCTCAGTGCCTAGAAGGCATCTAAGGGGAAGGAGCCTCTTGAACCCCGCTGAGGGACAGATCTCTCCCAGGACAGGTGCAGGAGACAGTCTGAAGTGCTGGGCAAGGAAACCTACTGAGGGACTTCGGGCCAGAGGCCACGCCTCCCTAGCTCGGAGCAGATGTTCCTGAGAGCTGCCCTCAGGACGCCCTGAAATGTCTCTGTTCCCATAAAGAGGGGCCTCTTTACCTGGTCAATTAAATCTAGGGGTTGTCAGGTTACCACTACCAGTTTTTCCAGGGCTTCCAGAAGCACGGGACAGGACTAGAGCAGTGAGGAAATTTCCCCTTCCCCTCTGGCTCTCCTTGGGTTGGTCGAGCCATTATTGTCAGACAACTTAGAAGAAAAGAATGAATGTGATTACATGTGTATGGAATGTCTTCGAATGCGAGAACGCAGACACTGGGGCAAATGGAACAAAATGAGTAGCCTGAGCTGGGGAGCAGGAGAGGGCCCAGGCAGCAGGGAGGGAGGAGCCAGACCAGATGCTCTGTAATTACCGTCTGCCCTGCCCCATGAACCAGTTTGTCCCACAGCAAGGTTCTTTCTGGTAAGAGTAACTGCCTCAAGTTCCATTCTTCTGGGTAGTTAAGGGAGTGTTAGAGTTTCTCATGCGCCAGCAGGGCACATGCCAAGTGATCTCTCCCAGGAAGACCTGTTCTAGAATTCTCGGGGAGGCCTATCGTTCAGTACCTTTTGTTGACCTACAGTTGGAGGGGTGCGGAAGATGAGAGGGAGAGAGAGAATGGCAGGTGACCAGCCCCAAGACCCGGACCCCTGTTTCCTCCTATAGCTAGCCCCGCTTCTGGCCCCTCCGGCTCGGCAGGCCCACAGTGGGTCACTCTGCCTTGATAGCAAGAGCACCCAGAGCCTGCCCTGTCTTCCCCCACAGGGAGAAGCACCGGAAGCTGAGTGCAGGGACAGAAGCAGGTTCTGAGCACAAAGACCCTGGTGAAGGTAGGTGTCTCCCACCTGGACTCGAGGTGACCTAATAAGCCTTTTGCAGGGTGCTCTGGGAAAGATGCTGGGAGGTCAGACCCTGCCTGCTCTGCCCTCACTCCACGTGTGCCTCCAGCCCCCAGGGACCCACTGGCCGAGCTGCTCCAGGTGTTACAGGCCCTCCGGGAGGCCCACAACAGTCCTGCTGGCTGCCTGCACACAGAGCCAACCCGCCTCCCGGAGCTGCAGACATGAGGCCTGCCCCAAGCTGAATCCTCATCAGGTGCTTGGAGACTCCAGTGCATTCTGGGCCCTTTACCTCATTCCTTCTCATTGGGGTGCAAGGCCTGGATCTCCCTTCAGTGTAGTGAATTGAGGGAAGCAGTGACTGGGCTGTCTAGCAAGCCAGAGCTGACCAGATTTTAGTCTTCTGTGGCCCGCCAGAAGTCTCTAGGGGATTCTGGGCCTCCGACTTCTCTGAGGACTGACTGCTCCTGCAGCCATTGTTCCTGCTAGGTCAGGCCCCTCCCCCACTCCTCCC